CCCAGAGGGTGTTTGGGCACTGGAACAGGCTCCCCAGGGAAGTGGTCACAGCATCAGGCTGACAGAGTTCAAGAAGTTCTTGGACTGTGCTTGGGCACCTGCTGTGACTCTTGGGGTGTTTGTGAAAGGCCAGGAGTTGGACTTTGGTGATCCTTGTGGGTCCCTTCCAACTCAACACAGTCTGTGATTCTGTTAAAATGTAATATGGGTCTGAGTTCTGCCGTCTTCTACAGCTTCTCTGATCAGACCTGCTGTGATCTCTGGTCCCCAAGCTCTGTCCTCTTGGCTGGGAGAGACTGCCTGCCTTCCAGGGCTTTCAGTGTTGCTGTGCTATGGCAACTTACCTAAAGATCAGTCTGTTTGGGAGGAATTTTAAAGCTATGGTGGTGTTTTGATTATAATCAGCATATTCAATTTCCCTGTGAAATAGATTGTTTGCTGTCTTAGCTTGCCCTTATTTCTGATGTTAGTGGTACACAGTATTTGGAATATGAATGCTGCAAAATCTAAAAACTGATTTGAATAAAAGTGTGGAGTTTTACACCCTTGCAACCTACATGCTGCTGAATAACAAAAATGTTGCCTTTTGCTACATCCATGTTAAATCTTTGTTTGTATCAGGACAGTGAAGATTCCTGACTCTGCAGATGGACTTGGATTCCAAATCCGGGGTTTTGGCCCATCTGTTGTCCATGCTGTTGGGAGAGGTAAGCTATAAGAGCTGTCAATGGTACTGCTAAGTAAATGTTTAATATCTAAATGACTTGGTTGAGATGAGTCAAAATTACGTCCAGTAATCCATCTTAGATTTTTTTTTCCCCCAAAGTAACAAACAATATTAAATAAACTCAAATGTAATTGTTTTGTGCACTTATACTCTGTAAGCTTGGATACACCTTCCAACTGTCATTTAAAAATGTAGTTGTACCAATGTAGGAAAGTTAAGTTAAAGCTGTGCATTCTTTGCAGATTAAGGAGTAGCTGAAGGATGCAATACAACTGCTTGTTGGGAACCTGTGTGTTAATTTGTTAGGTGGCTACGTGGTTCTGCAGTGTTCTGAAAACATTTTACTAAGAAATGTGCTTTTTACAAATCTTTTCAAGAGTGTTAGTGGCTTTGTCTTAGTAATAGCAGATGGTTCATGTAAATACTATTTTGGGATGTGATTTTCAGACACTTGCTAACCTAACTCAATGTTTTTGAGCAGTGCATTTGTGCTAAAAGAAGTTGAGTTATTTCTTGCTGTCTCATGTTGCTTGTGGTAGAGCAGACTGTGTTTTCAGTTATTGTGGGACAGTTGTGTCTCATTCCCCCCTCCTGCTTTCGTAACTGAGGCATGAAAAGTGAACTGATCTGCAAAACAGCCAGATTTGAACAGAATTTGATGACATTTTTTCTAGGTTGTGGTGCCAGAAATTAGATTTTCAAAAGAAAGACTAATAAACTACAGACTTAGTAGCTGATGTGTTAATTATTGTTGCACCTGGATCTCAAGTCAACTGCCTATCATTATTCATTAGGCACATACTTTATTCCAATTAGCCCCAACAATATGCAAGTGCTTGTTTGTGTCATTTGCTAAACCTGGAAGATTTAAAGCATGTGCCTGAATACTTTGCTGAATTGGGACCTTGGTGTTTTCTGAAGAGAGATTTGGATTTTTTTTTTTTTTGAGATATTAAATAAGATCTATTTATGTGTTTATTTTTAAGTCTTTTGGGGGGGGGGAGATTGCAATAGCTGGTAATAGTGTAATTTCCAATGACATTCTTTTATATTAGATTTTAAACACAGCTTTAATCTAATAGTGATAATTCTGAAAATGAGGGAAGCTCATGTATATTCTGTGAGTTCTTTCCTTGTCAGATACGCTCAGCTGGCAAGTCATGAAGTCGTGACAAGCTTTCTACTTGTCAGCCCTGCAGATTCAGTGTAGCCTTTTCTTTCACAGCCACTAGTTTCTGCAGCCCAGTCTGGCAGTCTCTAGGCAGTCGATTTTTACTTCCTTGGCACCTCTGTGGCAGTATCAAGAGACATTTGGAGACAAATGTTCAGGTAGCTGGAACTAAGATCATACTCCAGCAGGCTATCTTTCAGGAGTGAGTTTGAATTGCAGTGAAAAGACATGGAGACAGCTGCTCTTTTTGTAGTGCCTATTCAGTCACTAGTTCCCCAATGTGGTTATTCAATTGTGAAAATAAGTTACTGAACCAAATATTTTATGTAGCGTAAAGAGAATGTTTTGTTTTGGTGTCATGTTTTGTGTGTCCCCCTGTCCCACCCTCTGATAATTTAATTTGAGATATTCTACTTAATGGTCTTTGAGATTTTGTTTTAAAGCTCTGAGGCCTCCTGCTATAATTGTGTTGATAGGGAAGATGGAAAAAGAACAATATATTTGGAAATGTCTTTGGAATTTAGATATTTCACTTAATGATTAACATGATACTCTAGTATGCTCTTATGCTTTATGTATTGCCAGCAAAATTCTGTTTTGTATGTAAAATTGAAACACCTGAATTAAACAAGAAGCTCATAAGCTTGGGTCGTATAAAAACAGGCTAAGTTGTAATTAGTGACTTTCAAGCTAGAGCCATTTTATCCTTTTGAAGTCCTTTTTTTTTTGAGGTGAATTTTCCACATTTTCATATTGCTAGTCAATGTTTGCTGTTTTATAAAGCAGCCTTTCGGAAATTGTCTGGTCTCTTTTATGGAAACATCTGCTGGCAAACTCCATTTTCTTGGCATCCAGCTGGTCTACAGAAGTACTCTGTGGTCAAGGGAAGTATGTAAGGATCAGTCAGACCAGGTTCTGATTTTTAAAAAAAGAGCTTTTTGGGACTGTAAGCTTAAAAGGAGATGTTTAGAAAAAGAAGTTTGCTAACTGTGTGGGTTTTTATTAATAGGAACAGTGGCAGCTGCAGCAGGTCTCCACCCTGGTCAGTGCATAATCAAAGTGAATGGAATTAATGTCAGCAAAGAGACTCATGCAAGTGTTATTGCTCATGTCACAGCCTGCAGGAAGTACAGGCGGCCAATGCAGGTATGTCTCATTTGGTGCTCTTGCACTTTTTCTTCTGGATTTCTATTTTTGGTCAAAGTAAACAGTGTGGTGTTAATCTCTGTGCACATATCTGCTGTGTTTGAGTGGGATGAGAGGAAGGAAGGGGTGAATAAAACTGAAGGAAAGCCAATTGAAGTATAAAAGCTGAAGATTGCTCAGTGGTGATGTTCAAAATCTGCTTAGTTTCTGCACTGAAATAAATATCATAGATAATTTTTATATGGTGTTTTTAAAGGGCTGTTTCAAGCATTTCTGCAGTCCTATGCTGAAAGAATTTTGAGGTATAATCTCATCTTGATGGAGAGGGAATCACAGAGCTTTCTGCCTGCTCAGCAGCAGGAGAATGAAATACATAAAACTGATCTTCCAGAATTTTGTTACACTTCAGTACGCAGAGAGCAGAGCGCATATATTCCATCCATAAAAGAATCCCTATCACATTTCAGTCTTGAGAATAAGTATATATTCAAGGACTCAAAATTTCCTTTTTTTAAATGCATGCAAATTTTGTTATCTTTGTCCTGTTAGTTAAGGAGAAAATCTCAGGCATCCAAGACACAAATTTAGGAAGAAAAACCAAACCAATCTGGATTCTATAATGTAATTTTCCAATTCTCTGCAAGTTTTTTCATAAACCGTGAACCAATATTATTAATTAACTTCACAAACTCTTCAAGTACGTGTTTACTGAGGAGAAAAATCCAATTAAAATTAAGAGTTGAATCCTTCTCCCACACCTACTGCAGAGTTATAAGAATTATATAGTTAGAACTGGGTCTTATAAATACAGTGTTTATGAAAATGTTCTTAGGATGTTTGTGTTTAAATGATAATACAGAATTTAAATTGTTACATGGCATATAGAGATCAAGCTCACCTGTTCTTTAAAGGAAGATGCACTCTATTAAAGAAAAAATGTCCTGTTCACTAGTACCAAAATTGGCTAGAATAAAAGATAAATTAAATTCATTATAGCAATTTTGTTCTCTCTGTGTGTAACCGTAGACTTCCTATGGATATTAGTGACATCCAAAAATAGTTGATTAATGTTGGCTGGTGTGAATGCCTGGAAGTTAAAAAATTACTTTGGGTTTTTTAATCTACTTGTATAATAACTTGAATTTTTTTCCTATACATAAGGGTTTTTTGGTTTTAAAAAGTAGCTGATCATAATTCAGCAAATCACAGATAACTGAGGTTCCTTAGGCAAGGAAAACTTCATTTAGGATGCAGTATTATCAAAAAAATATGTGAGAATTGTCTAGACTGAAGTAAATGATAGTATTCCCACTGGTGAAAAGACAGCTAAAATTAATTTCCTATTCAGAAATTTGGTGGGGTGCTTTTATTATTTTTGGAAAATGACTATGGATTTCTCCTATTTTGTAAGTACAGTGCACACAGCCTATAATTTAATTACCCAGAATATTGCAGTCTCTCCTGTAGTTCCCAAGTAGATAATTGAAAGGGAATATTTTTCTGGTTCTTACATCTTTTACTTCTCAGGGTAAAAAGTCTTCCTAATTGCCTGGAGCATGAAGCTTCATTTCAGATTCCTTCAGTCAATAACTGCATAATTTCTGTTGGACAGTGTTTACCTTCTGTCTTGTCTGAATAAAGAAAATTGAGACCAGGTATTACTTCCTGGAATTGCAATTTCTTTGCAGTGATACTAATCGTGATGCGCCAGATTTATGCTTAGTTTGTTCTCCTGTAATGATTTTGAAGAACATTGCTCTAAGTCATATTGCATTAGATTGGTTGTTAACGTTTGGAAAAGGGACTTCCAGGTTGAGAAGTGAGCATTTCCTATTAGAGATTGGCACAGCAGTCTCAGTGCTGCCAGGTATTGAGTAAGAGTCCATAACTCAGCACCAAGCTTTGAGGTGAACCTGAGAAGAAGTGTGGATTTCAGAAAGATTCTTGTTGATCAGCTTCTGCACAGGTGTCCTCCAGCAATCAACACAGACCTCAGAAAGTTAAGCTTTCTTGCTCAAATATTTCATGCCATTGAGCAGAAAGCAAGGCATAGATGAATTTAGGAAACCTAGAGAACACCATACCAATGGGGTAAAGAAAAAAGCTGATTGTTATATTTTAGCAAAAGATAACTGAATGTATTTGGCACTTTGCATGAACAGTTTAACATTCAGCCTAAATGTTTGCTGTCCTTGCTTAACTTCAAATTCTTCCATGAACTTCTTTTTGAATTCAAATTTGTCACAATCATGTCACTTATTCTGCTGTAGCTGTTGCAGAAGGAGCGATTAACTAACTGTTAAGCTTGTTTTGAAGTATAAAGGACAAAAAGTAATCTGGGGACACCATGCTTGATAGGACCTTTCACAAGGGTATGATGGACATGTGGCTGAGTTACAGACTGGGTAGAAGATGTAAGAAATACACGTGGCTTCTTCAAAGGTTGAATGACACTTATAAGCCACCAATGCTGTGCTCGTGTGTCACTCAGCCACAGAAGATGGTGGATTTTTGGAGCCTGTGGTTCTTTTCTTTTGCAGGGCTGTGAGGGGGTGCTAATCTGTGGGAAAAATGAAAAACATTTATTACTACACTAGTAAAATATTTGTAGTCAAGGCAGAAATAAGTAATGAAGGCTGTAGTATAGCTTCTTTGTGCCAGTGACACATGGTGAAGGATTAACTGGGCATTCTCTGTCATTGATTGATATTCCATAACTTTTGCTACCAGATTTGTGGATGCACAGCAGATTTGGGAAAGCAGAAGTTGTTTTTTTCCCCATGATTTCTTGGAGAAAAATATTTTTCAATATGCAATTTTATTTGAAATATCTTAAATTATTTTCGACAGAGACATAAAAATTATGGATGTCATACTGTCACAGACTTCATACTGTCTCATGACAATATATGCCTTAATAAAAAATAACTTGCCAAAATTCTCTGGATTTTTTTTTTAACTTATACCTTAAAAATAGTTGCCATCAGTTGCACTTTTTCTACCTGTCTATTTTTTGTTGTTTTTCTAGCAAGATTCTATACAGTGGGTTTACAACAGCATTGAAAGTGCACAGGAAGATCTTCAGAAAGCAAACACCAAACCCTCTGGAGATGATGGAGGTGATGCCTTTGACTGCAAAGTGGAAGGTATGTGATGCTTGTTTGATCTTGTTGCAGCTGAGAATGCTGTTATAATACAAGGAAAATGTAGGCATTGGGTTTGTTGCAGATTGGAAATTTTGACCAGATCATAAGATGCGATTTACATAAGAATTTGGTTTTTTATATATTCTAAACATATAAATTTTACATGCTATTCTTTGAAAACCAGTAACTTTCCCATTTAGAGAAAATACTTCCATGAATACTTTGGGGAAAATCTGTTTAATTTCATTTGTAAGAAACCTAAACCAAGGCATTACCTGATTTATTTTCACCTCCAGTAATCATTTATGGCAAATTAGATACAGTAGTCATTACTGCATGGGAAATAAAAACACAACTATCCTTCAAATTATTTTCAGGCAATTAATGTTTAGATGAAACTGCATTCATCTGCAACTTGTAATTAAAGAGACAGTTAATACTCAAACTGTGCATTCATAAACGCAGTTATTGTGGTTTCATTTCTGAATGGTGACAGTTTTCATAGTGATTTTCTTCTACTTTATTTAGAAATACTCAGTTTTCCCTTTTTTGGGTCTTTCTTAATGTGTCTGGACTATAAATGAAATGGAATTAGCCCTCTTAAATAACTGGGTTTGTAAAGAAAGAGTACTGCCTGTTTTGCAGTCCAGTATTTTAACATCTACAAATCTACTGGTGTTCTGATTTTTATATTGTTCAGCCTGGTTCTTTAATGAATGTATTTAAATAGAATGATCAGAACATACCTCTTTCTAGAATGTTTGCCTGTGTTCTTTATAGTTCATTCAATGTCCAGGACTTGTCAACTGATTTGTGTTACTTTATTTATTATAGAGGTAATTGACAAATTTAACACCATGGCAATAATTGACGGGAAGAAGGATCATGTGAGTCTGACTGTTGACAATGTTCATCTGGAGTATGGAGTGGTTTATGAGTATGACAGCACAGCTGGAATAAAGTGCCATGTCTTGGAAAAAATGATTGAACCAAAGGGATTTTTCAGTTTGACTGCAAAGGTATGAAACATTTTTTGTATGTTAATGTTTATTGTGTTTAATACCAGCGGAGAAACTTGTGGATTTTTTTACTCTTATGATTATATGTCTTTCATTTGGTATCTTATGATTGGTCACCCTTATCTCTCTGATGTTTTGGAGGATGATTGTGTGCTCAGGAGGCAAAAATAGTTATGTTGTAATTATAAATTGAGCCTTTAAATGAAAAAAAAAGTTAAAAGATCTTCAAAGTCTTCCATTCCTCCTGCCCCTCTCCCTTATTTCTTATTTATCAAATAGAATTTGAAATAAAGTCCAAGATCTACTGAAATATCTATAAAGGCTATATACTACCCTCATCTCTTAACATGCCTTTTAATTAGTTTTCTCTCAGCCTTATAGCAAGGCTTCAGTCTTTGCTGGGCAGTACAGCTTATCCTGTGCCCTATTTCCTAGCCTTTTTATGCAGAATATACAAGAGAATGGCACTCAGTTTTCTTTTAAGCTTTTTCAATGTGTTAGTATTCTGCCAAATTGAAGGTTTTCTATAAGTAATGAATGAATTAATTCAGCAGCTCTGCATAATGTGTGCTGATCAAGTAAATACAGCAGCTAATGTATTTCAGAGGAGCCATAGTGGTTACATTAGTAGGAAATTAGTAGTAAATCCATTATCAGACAATGTCATGAGAAGCCAAGCAAAAATACTTATGGGTATAACTTAGCAGGGAATAGATTTAAGAAAACCTCTTTGCATCCCATCCCGAGCTTCATTTATTGTTGTTGTGCACCATTTTCTGTAATGTTATCAGGCTTTTCAGCTTTAGTTAAAAGAGATAATTAGTAAGGCAAAATTTTAGTCAACTTAATTTCATAACATATTTTCTTGTTTTTATTATCTTAGATTCTTGAAGCACTGGCAAAAAGTGATGAACATTTTGTGCAGAATTGCAACAGCCTCAATTCCTTAAATGACGTGATCCCCGCAGAACTTCAAAGTAAATTCAGTGTCATTTGCAGTGAGAAAATTGAGCATATCTACAGAAGAATCTCTAGCTATAAAAAGGTATGCCCTGCGTGTCCTAAGCTTGATTATATTTGTCTTTTAAGGAAGAAACAGGGGAATGTGGTACAGTTTGAATAACTCTTCAGTGTGTCAATGGCAGTGACAAAAATGTGGCTGGAAGTTTATTATTTTGAAGCACGAGTGCCTTAATTGAGTAATTGTATCAATTGTTTTCAAGCCATTCTCTTTATTATCCCTTTTTTAGACTTTGTGTAGTTTGTATTCTTTCTTGTTTGCTGTATTCAGTTGCAGAGACAATCAACTGCGTATTTCCGTAAAAGGGCCGTCATTCTTGTAAATGCCTTAAACCAATACTCTAGTGAATTTGCAGATGTTAACCAAAAATATAGCAATAGCAACAGAATTTTTTTTCTTTCTAGTGCAACTCAAATACCAGATTTTAACCCATTTATTCAACTTTTAGACACTAGCATATCTGTTAAAAGTAGCATCTCTGTAATTTATTAGCTTCACTTGGTTTAATAAAACATAATAGCATGGAAAAATGCAGAAGGCGCTGATTTTCATATCTTGAGATCTTAATTAATGATATGTAAATGAATAAATAGCCCAGACTATGACCTCTAGTTGCTGTCTGTGCATTTCACTATAGTTGTTTAACCAAGCAGGGCGCAAATGAATCAATCATTTCCCATTTTGTTAATGCAAGCTCATTTTCTCATCCAGACCCCTAATTCCTCTCTCATGGAACCTAATTGTTGGTACGTGAATTACTTTGTAGTAGGCTCAAAATGACTGCAAAAAAAGTGGTTCTGCCCTGTCTTATCTCATTTGGGGATCTGAGTTGTGAGGTTTAGAAACTGGTCTGTTCTAATAGCTTATACTTAAAATTTGAAAAGAGGGGAAAAAAACAAAGGAAAAGGAAAGTGAATGCAGGAGCTTCACACATTTGCAGAAGCTAAAAGACTAGATAATGATTTTTCCATTTTCAAAGGAAAGTAGGGAAAACTGTTAGGAATACCTGTAGGTCAGTAGTCAATAGGACGAAAGCCAAAAAGCAGCTTGTCAGACTTCTCAAGGTGCTCTCTAAAAAGAAATGGAATAAACTGAGTTGTGTCAATGGAGACATCACAAGAATCCTGATACTGTTAGCAAAAATCTGACCTCTCCATTGTTTGCCTGAATTACAAACCTCCATGTTTCCAATTTGGTTAAAATTCAAATTACCGTTAAAAAAAAAAAAACCAAAACAATTAGTTTTCATATTAACAGTTACAGTTCATTCAACATGCAGGTGATTTATATGTTTTCTGTAGCTGAAAAATTTGACTGTGATATATAGCCTCTACAGAGGAGGCCAAGACAGTAAATCAAATTTTGTTGTGCTTGCTGGATGTGAAACAAACAGCCTCAGGGGAGTTTTCATAGTTCTTACACTGTCTAGAAGTAGATATTCCTGATACAGACTGCACTTTAGATCTCATCTGCTCAAAAATCACTAGTTTCACAGCTTTTAATGACAATTAGTAATGCAGTGGATTTCAGGAATAGATGTGTCATTTTCTTGGCAAGGTAAAGGTAACCATAGTTACAGGAGACTTTCAGAGTGCCTGAGCCCAGCTTGGCTCCTGGTTTTACTGTGAAAGTTCTAATTCTATAAATAAAAATCTTGTGGATTTCTGCAGTTCCTACTATTATTATTATCAGAACATTTTGCTCCTAATAGACCTCGATCCAGTGCCATGAGTCCCAGATGTTTCTCAACACATATATGAGAAGAATCTTGGTCCTGACTTATGACCTGATTAAATCATAGCCAGTATTTGGTCTCTCTGGAGCAGGATGTGTGGGAGATTGAGATGTGAAATATGTACTGCTTGCAGAAATATTTTCATCATTGAATGTCCTTAGTAGCCTTCTTAACAATTTGTGCATTCTTCGGCCTTTGAACAACTCCATAATTGGATTTCTTGTAACCCTCCAGAACTTGTTGTGATCTAAAGATTTAAATGTAATTATCCCAGCAAGTGTTCATCAGCCTGAAGTAATATGACACTAAAATAAACAGAAATTTAAGTCCCAGTACAGAAACATCTCACTTTGCAGAAGGAATATGTCTTAATTCAACTGAAATGTTAGTAAAAAGTTGACTGATTTGAATTTTTAATGACATTCATTAGTGAAGAAACTGTGCAAGTTAACTTTGAAAATATTCTTATGCATGATCTGTGGTTCATAGCTAAAATAGGTCTGTGTAATATTTTGACTGGGGAGATATTGTGATTAAAACACTGATTACATCTTTCCAGAAAAAAAAATCTTCCCTGACAACAAACTGCACTGAAAATGACACATATTGACAGAAATCCTACTTGTGACTGACAAATAAATCTCTTTTCCAATTGAAGAGCTTGATCAGATGACTTGATTCTGACATAGATGCAGTTGCTGAGTGTCCAGTTCTGTCCTCACCATTTTGGATTGACATCTTCTCATCTTAAAAACCAAAGAACTCCAAGCCTATTCAAAACACTGCACGGAATTTAAGATGTTAGAGTCAAGGAGAGGAGGCTAAGCACTGAATTAGAATTAGACCAAAAACTAAACAAAAATTAGACCAGAATTAGCCCAAAAATTAAACAAAAAACATTCCTCATTGCTGAGCTGATATGCAGGGGGGAGAAGAGGTACTGGACTAGGGAAGTTTGCAAAATGTGTTTTTTGCAGTTTTTATGTACTAGTGCTTGTCAGCTTCCTAATGTCAGTCAAAATAGGAGAATTGGACTGTACCTCTGCAGGTCTTGTCCAGCCAACCCTGCTTAAGCAGGGCCACCTAGCGATGGTCGCCCAGGACAGGCTTTGAGGAGGGAGATCTGACCTCTCTTCCCTGAACCTCTCCGATCAGTTGGGCCAGTGCTCAATCACCCTCACAGCGCAAAAGTGTCTCCTGACATTTGGAGGAAAATACTGTGTTTAAGTTTGGGCCCATTGCCTCTGTTCCTGGCACTGGACAGCACTGGAAAGAGCCTGGCTTTGTCCTCTTTGCCTCATTCCTGCAGGTATTCCTAGACATTGATGTGTTACCCCCTGAGCTTCCTCTTCTCCAGCCTGGAGGGTCCCAGCTCTCTCAGCCTTTCCTCACAGGAGATGCTCCAGTCCCTGAATCATCTCAGAGGGCTCACCTCCACTGGGCTCTCTCCAATGTGCCCATGTCTATTTATGTGAAGCCCAGATTTGGACCCACGACTCGAGGGCCTCACTGGTGCTGAGGAGAAGAACAGGATCAGCTCCCTCCAGCCCCTGGCAATGCTGCTCCTAATGCAGGAGGATAAGATATATCTTATTAAAGAGGACTTCCTCCTTCCCAAATAGGAAATCCAGAATTCATACTTTCTGATTTTGTCTTTATTATAGCTTCAGACAAAAAATTTCATGGATTTTAGGAAAATGCTGGCTTGAAAACGAGCTTTTAAATGTCATGAGCAGTAGAGCAGTTTCAGACTTCCTCCTCAGAAAAACAATTGATTTTTTTATTTTGTTCCATGGGAAATAAATTATATCTCTCTGTTACAAATATATTTATATGTCTTAAAACATCATTTGCTTCAAAAAACAACCCCTTAAAAGTGTAAAATGAAAAATATTTTTCTTTCCCTTTTAGAGAAAGGTGGAAATTATGGAGTCAAGATACCTTAAGTCAAGGATGACTGAAATATTTTAAGCTTTTATTTTCTAGTTAGGTACACAAGAATTGTTAGCTACATGCAGACACAAGAAGAGCTGATAATCAAAATTTGGTTTTCTTTCTTACTTCTAGTTTTCAAGAGTATTAAAAAACAGAGCTTGGCCCACCTTCAAACAAGCTAAGTCAAAGATTTCACCACTTCACAGCAGTGATTTCTGTCCAACCAATTGCCATATCAATGTGATGGAAGTGTCTTACCCTAAGACCTCAACTTCCCTTGGTAGTGCCTTTGGTGTTCAGCTGGACAGCAGAAAACATTCTTCCCATGAGAAGGAAAATAAAAACACTGATCAAGGTAAGTTAATTGAGCTTGAAAGAGCTACTTCCTGTGCTCCTGATAGAGAGTTTTAAAAGGTAGTAAGTTTAGTTTTATAGCCCAAATATTAAAATTGAGGAAAAATCTTTCTGAAATCACCCTTTTTTGATTTTTGGTTTTATTTTACAGCATAATAATGGGTAGTCATAATTTCACAATAACTTTTTCCTAAATAGCTTCACTTTGAAATGCAAATAAAATGCAAAATTAAATAAGTACGGGAATTTTAAACAGAAAAATATTTCAGTGTCTGTTAGGTATTTTACTAACTTCAAAATGTATGTTGAAGAAAAGATAGTGATGAAATCCCTTTGGATTATTCCCAGGTAAACTGAGTCCCATGATTTATGTCCAACATACCATTACTACTATGGCTGCCCCTTCAGGACAGTCTCTTGGCCAGCAGGAGGGCCATGGTCTGAGGTACCTCTTGAAAGAAGAAGACTTAGAAACACAAGACGTCTATCAAAAGTTGCTGTTCAAATTACAAGCTGCCCTGAAAGAGGTGGAAACGTGTGTCTGCCAAATAGATGAGTAAGTAAATGTTACCATCTGGACTTGTCTTTAACTTTTCCATAGAAGAAAATGATAAATCTGGGCAGTGCTTTTGTGTAGCATAGGATTCAGGATAGCTGACTTCAGACAGAATGGAAGTAAAGTAAAAAATTTAAGTGCAGCTAATGTTGTATTTTGATCTTTTTCGCAGCATGCCTGACTTTTTTCCCCACAGTTTGTAGGTTTCTTCCAGTTTGTAAATTTTCTTTAGAATGTGGCAAAGTTCATTAATTTGAAATGAGGAAAATATGAGGCACACAATGTCACCTACAATTTCACTAAAAATGGAAACAAAGGGCAGAGGTATAAAAATGGCCTTTATTGAACTCTTCAGGTATTGCTGAATAGTCCCACAGATGAATTTTTGGGTGAGACATTACTCACTTGCAGGGAGAGCATTAATTTGTTAGAAATTTTTCAAAACCAAATTGACCTTTATTTAGGGAGATTTAGGGAGAGCCACCCTGGAGTTATTAGGACATTTGGCTTGGATGTGAGAGACTCAAAGTCCCATCACAGTTAGTCCTAATTGAGGATAAAGATATATGACTTGCTTTTTCTTTAGTAAAGTGAGTGAGTTCACTCCTGGGCTATTTTCTTGGGATTATGATGAAGAAGGATAAGAATTATTTAAGTTTTGAAAGATCCCATATGTGTGGGAATCTTTCAAATTCAGAAATTTCAAAGAAATTTCAAATTTCTTTCAGAAATTAATTTTGAAAACAAAAATAACAAACATTTTTGAGCTTAAAAGACAATCTGTCAGGATCTGCAGTTTAGATAAGTGGTGTGTCATTGTTTCTCATGCTATCTTGAAGACTGTAGTGTGATTTGTCCTTTCATGTGTACTTAAGGTGGGATTTCTTTTTTTTTTACTGTTCTCATAGTAGTTGTAATAGTTATGTAAATAATTGTAATGTATCACATTATACAATTATATATATATATATGTGTGTATATATATTTATATATAAATATATATAAAAATAAAAATATATAAATAAAAAATAAATATATACAATTATAAGTAATTGTAATGTATCACATACTGCAGTGGGAATCAAAACAAGAATTGACTTAGTATTTTTAAGAAAATGTTTCCTGTGCCTTTACACAGTTCTGCTACTTATCACGCTGAAGATGAAGTAAATTAATTAAATTCATGATAATTTCAGTGCTTGGGTGCACTTTAGAAATTACTATTTGTAAAGTCTGTGTTGTCTCTCTTCCTCATGGAAGTCAGAATATTATATATGGAATTTTATTCAATACTTCAGGAAGTTCAGCTGCCAGTATGCCACACCTTTCCTTTCGACTCCCTTGAGCTTGTGATGCACAGGAAATTCTGAGCCTTTCTTTTGTATAAATATACAATAATATTATACATTGTATAAATGTATATATAAATACACACACTCACAGAAAAATTGCACACAAACACAAGGGTTCACTTTTTTCATTCCTAAATTTTCTGTACACTGATCTTGTAGCTGATCTTGTATAAGGTACACAGATGTATTTAGCAAATTTTACCTTTGGCTGATTGGAAGACTGAGTCTTTGACTTTTCATGCTTTATTCCTCGTGGACATTGAGTGGACTGCCAGTGAGTAATTACTGTAGAGGAAAGCAGTTCTAAAGAGGAAACAGGATAGCCAAGAGACCTACTTAAAAGGGCTGAACGGGGAAGAGTGAGCAGTTCAGAGGCGTGTGGTATATTAGAACATTGTTACAGATGCTAATTAACTCTTGAAATTTAGGACTAAAGAAACAAAAGATAGAGTGACATGATAGATAGTCCAACTGCCATGCTTTAATTAGAAATTTTGCTCCTTAAACAGCTGGGAGGAAGTGCTTGATTTTGTGTTTTTTATAAGCACAGTAGAGTTTATTTTTTCTGTTGTGGCATAGTAACAATAAAATCAATGTCTCTTTTTATTGAATCGATTATTATCCTAAACAATCCTCATTATTTTAATATTCTCAGGATGGATAATATGAACATGGTATCTATCACAATTTGTAATTTGTGTTGATATTGTGTGACAGAAAAATTGGACTACTGAATAACTGGTAGCATTTACTTAGTGTTGAAAACTTGCTCATGCAAGTTTGCTCTGTGTTGAGGTCAGTGCTGGTCTGTGTTTCAGCTCACAAAATCTTGGGGCAGTGTTATCTGCTCAACTTCTGCTGTCTGTTAGTGAGTTAAAAAATTAGTATTTCATCTGAAGAGCAGGTCTATGAGAGCCTATGGTGAGGGAACATTTAAGAGAAGATTTTGTACTCCTAATATTTTCTGCATAGGAGTTTATAAGGCGGTTTGCTGATGAGTTTTGGCTGGATAAGTGATGTAGTACTGACAGAGAGAGAGAAATACCCACAGAAAATGTATCCCCTTTCCACAGCCTCTCCAGGCTCCACTGTGCTCACATTCAAATAGTTTGATGGAATCCCAATAGGTCTTTAGTGATGCTGCAGATACCCCATGTTGCTGCTAGGTGTTACACAGAAATAAGTCCTTTTTTTTCAAATTGTTTTCTATATGGTGACTCTGCTGGGTTCTTGGCTCATGCACTTAGTTCTCTCCTACCATCCCAGCTCTTTTTTGGAAAGATGTCTTTTGAGATCATACAAGAGGCTTGAACATTTTTCAAGCTTCTGTGGAGTGAGGAAAAGGCAGAGAAGGTTTTTTGTTACTGCCTTTTTTAATTCTTTGACTAACCATAGCAGGTTTTGTTTGTCAGGGTTGTGTTGACTTGGGTTGCACATAGGAGTAATTCCACAGGAGAGGATTTTTTTTAAGATTTAACTTTCCGTGTTTCATTGAAATATTCTGCATAGAGACTCTCTAGCTGTTAGTTACTATTCACTCGTGGTTCTTCTTTGAGAGCTAGATACCTGAGGTAATTTTGTTTGGTCTAGGCCCATCTTTGGAGAAAATGTATTGTGCATGTGTTGTGTTTAAGAAGAAAAACAAAAGTATATTTAAGCAAGATTATTGGGGAGGACCTATATCCAGGTTTTTATTTTAAACTCCCTGGAGTGAGTTTTTTAGAGCACATCAGTGACTTCAGTAACTACTTTCTCCAGGACTTGGTAATCCAGAGTTCCATCTTTCGCTCGTGATAGTTCAGCAAAAAAAATTTCCTTAGAAGAAGAGCCTGCCTGCTGAGAGAAATGGAAAAGCCCCCTTAGGAAAAGATCCAGCTACCTTAATCAGTCTTTTACTGAGCTCTTGGCAGCAGTGACTAAACAGTCACATAAAAGAAGGGGCTATAATAGTCTGTCTGTGTCTTGACAAATAATTACTCAGGGGAAGATATTTTCAGGAGCTGAAATTGCAGTTCATTATACTTGTTTCTTAATCTTGATTATTTTCTTGCAACAACAAAATCCCCGAGAAGTTACTAGAATTAACTTTTATTTTTAAGTGGATGAGAGTGGGAACACTAGAAGAAGCAAAAGTATAGGTTTATCTTTGTCCTTATCTCATCTTTCAACAGGCAGAACTAGACGGTCTTTTTGAAATCAACCTTTTGGTTTAAGAGCAGCGTTAGAATATCTGCCATGAATTTGTCTAATCTTGTTTTGAACCCCTTAGATATTTCTTACTAAGAAAATAAGTTTTACAGGTATGAAGAACTGATTTCCTATGGTTTCTGCTTCCACAACACATTTATTTTAGGACAAGTTCAAAAACACATATGCTCTAGCATGAGATTTACACTGAACACTGATGTAAAATATGAGTCCCATCTCTCTTCCTTTACTCATGGAATTATGCTTGTCAGTGACTGCAAAGAGCTGAGTTGTGATTTCATACTGCTATGAAGTGTTAGGGCATAATGTAGCCCAAAAGAAATCAGTCTATTGGAGGGGTGAGTTTAAATTCTGGTGAAATTATACCTTTAGTATAATTTTTCTGTATTCTAGGAGCAGTTCAGATCAGTATCTTTAACTGTGTGTGGGATAAAATCTGTCTATTCCCATCAGTGGGGAGAATTTCATGTAAGAAGATCTAACCTACTTTTGAATCCTACTATGTAGTTGGTAAGAAAGTTTGCCAGTTGACCATTCTGACAGTTTCTTCAATAAAACTCTGTGACTATTTCTAAGTAGTTCAAAGCAAAATAAAAGTTTAGTTCAGTGTCCTCTGATTTCAGGTAGTTAGCAAGTAGTTTTTGCAAGAAAAATGCTACTTTTGAAATCCAAATAGTAATTTGAAAATGTGATTTTAATGGAGTGTTTGAGCAATAGGAATTAAAGGACAATTGCCCATTATTGCTGTTCTGATCTTGAAAGTAAATTAGAGCATCTCAGTATGAATTAATCATCCAAGAATATGAATTTTTCACTGCCAGTATTTCTGCATGTTCTAAAAGTAGCAATCTGCACTGTTCTCTCTTCTTGGCTGGATGTCACTTTTGTGCTCGTCACAGACGCCTGTATATTAATCATCAGTTTTACTAGTGATAATGGCTCAGACACTTTGAATGTCACGAACTACACAGAGATGTTAATAAAGATCATTAAAATGCCCTAGTAGAATAGTTTGTGGTGCACACTGGCATGTCTTGTACAGTATTAACTGGGAAAATACATGCTTTGCACAGACATACAGTTACTTTCATTTGTTTTCTTGATTTGTGCTAAGTGCAGGATTCATATTTAAAAATAGTTATGTTAATATGCAGTTTGACCCCAAGTGTCCAAGAATGTGCTGTATTTCTTCTCCAGCTGGAATCGTTGCTTTCATACATGATGAAGTATTTGGTAAGGTTAGTGGGTTTCACCGTTAGACGTTCTGACAACAGAATGTGTCAGTTCCTTCCCTTGTTTCAAATAGATATTGACTGAATCAAGATATTCCTTCACGTATTATAGAATAATAATTGGAGGATAGTGATGAGAAATGTTATCCTGTTGCTAGCTCACTTTTGAAAAACAGTAATTTGCCTTTATTTTTGTGTGTTTCACAGCCTTCTTTCTTCAATAACATATTCTCCCAAATCTGAACGCAAAACACCTGAGCCTTTAATACCAGCAGACAGTGATAATGAAAAGGGGGAAAGGAATGGGAAGAAAGTCTGTTTCAGTGTAACAGGTGATGAACAAGAAGATTCTGGTCATGATACCATCAGTAACAGGGATTCTTACAGGTAACTTTATTAATAAATTTTTGTTTTTCAACTGAATCAAATATGGAAGCTTGTAAAGTATCAAGTGGTTATGAAGACGACTAGAATATGATTCTGGCATTACTAATGGAGGAGTAACTAGCCTCAGGGTGTGTAAAATAAAGTCCTATGAGTCCAGGTTAGTTGTTATATCTTGGTCACCCAAATCTGGATAGGATATCACAACTAAATATGTAAAATCTTACTTTAGATTACCTGTCTTACAAAAACTAGAAATGACTGGGTTTTATGTCTCCAACAACAAACAAAATATCTACCATGGAAAGCAAGGTGATAGACCCACTGTGATGGGGGTTCTATATGATCTAAAGAAAAATATAATATTTATCAACATATATTTCTCACTTTCTTTCGCTCTAAATACTGTAGCATCACCTCACCTCTGGAATTTGAATTGTAAATATAGCAAGTATAGTTCTTACATAGAGGGTACTCTCTTGCTTAGAGAAAATTGGCTGATGATATAAAAATGAAATTCAAATTTTAGCTGCAAGTAAAATGAGAGTCAGTATCATTATCATGCTGAGAAATTAGAATCTCAGTAGGTTTATCATTCTTCTATAGAACTCTGTGTTGCTGAGATCTCTTCCCTAAGCTGTATTTGATTACTGCAGCCTGGTAGATATGAACCCCTCATCAGAGTAGAAAGAGAACTACACAGATGTAAACACAGAGATAATTTGCACAGAATAAGTTCATTTTGTTCTTACCATGGTGAACATAGTGGCAAAGTTCTTCGTCCATCAGAAGCACATTTAGAGTTTGCTGCATGTTCATGATGTGTCAAACTGACTGTCAATGAGCTGTTCCAGTGGTGTGTGCTTGCTCCTGTTGAGAGGTTTCCCAGCTGGCACAGGATTTGTATGTGCAGAAAGAAGGTGTGACCCAGGACATGAGTGTCTCTTTGTTCAAAACATTTTCTTTATTCTGATTCCTCTCCTTTACAGTCCATTCTGGCTGTGTAGGAATAATAAAACCAAGGGTTCCATATACAGAACAATCATAAAATTTGTGCATTAAAGACAAGTCTTGGAGTGAGATTAGAATGTTTTTTTCTTTGCTTAAATAATTGTATTAGTCAATACTTAAAAATCTCCAGCTCTCATAATGCCACAGTGGTTATTATTGGAACTGTTTGGCTAATTTCAGCCATTATAATGCTCTCATTTTGTGTAGAGTCTCCTTCTAAACCTTAGAATACAACACAAAAATCATGCAGAATGATACAGCAAATGCATCTAATCTGTTTCTCATTTTCCTGTGTTTTATTTTCTCATGCTTTGCACAACCCAGTTTTAATTAACCTTCATCTCCCCTTTGGAGACTTTAAGTGGTGAATAGAGTTAGTTAGAAAACATTTCTTAATATCCAGCCAGAAATTTTTAATACTCCTTGGGACTGTTCACCCACTATTAGGAACATGTTGTTACTGATGTCTTTTCATCTACTTAATGGTTATGATTGTAATTACATCATATTGCTTAATTTAAAAGTTTAACTCCTTCACTTACCTCGTTGACTACAGGTCCAAAACATGTACATTAGCCAGGAAATTAAGTCACTCTCCCCAAATTAGTGAAAAGTCACTTCTGTATCTACACAAATAAAGAAAACAAATAGGGAGCACATGTATAACTGCAGTGTTATTTTAAGAATGGATATGTTAATTTTGGTAAGTGGGTACACCCAAATAATAAAACAAGACCCATATCATTATGTGTAAACCTCCCTTAGGTACACTTTTACATTATCTTACATTCACTTGGGTTTTTAAGACTCCCTCTGCTGGATAATTACTTAGGCATCTCCTGCATTGAAATGAAATGATTTTCATATGGCTAAACAACAAAGTATGAAGACTTTGAATTCAGATATATCTTCATAGGATTTTTAGTACAAAAGTCTGTATTTCACTCTGGTTTTGCTGCAGGATTAGGTATATCTCCATATATTTTCTGTACAGAACAAATTGTTTTTGAGAGAAAAGAGCAGAAAAAAAATTAAATCCCAAAATCAAATTTAAATCCCAAAATCAAATTTAAATCCCAAAATCTCCCTATTAGACCAATGTGGGTGAGATTTCGTATGCACAGAAGTTTTGACTGAAGCCACAGATGTGAATGTCTATACATCTCTAAAAAAGGAACAGCTGGAAGAGATGGCATCATGAACTGTTTTGGCTGACAAGGAAAATAGTTTGTAATTTCAGTTTCATTGCTACTCAAATGGATCAAATCTCTTGTAAACCCACAGTGAGACTCTTGTTATGCAAGTTGTAAGGACTCTGTTTGTATTAGCCGTGCACCAGGAGAAAATGTGAAGTAACTAAAACATTTGAGGCTACAGATTCAAAAACTACCACTCACGCAAGAAAAGTTGGTTGTTTTGCATTCAAAGTCTGTATTACTATTCTGCAAATACTTGTTCAGAGGTAAGGGGAAGGGAGATAATTGAAGCATCTATTTTGGGAATCCGGTCTCCTGAGTCTTAGCAGGACTGCAGATTAAATGAACATCTAAGCACAGGGACCTTCACTGTGTACAAAGAATTACAGAGACTGTCTCATCATTAAATTTAGGATGGGAAAGGGAAAGAATTTCCATAACTTTTTTTTACAAAGCCTGTGTTAAAGGACATAGCTTTATTTATTTTTTTGTTTTGTGTTTTATTTTCTAGTGACTGCAACAGCAATAGGAACTCCATTGCCTCTTTCACCAGCATTTGTAGCAGTCAGTGCAGTTCTTATTTTCACAGTGATGAAATGGATTCAGGTATGTTTAGAAAATTCATCTATGAATCTGCCTTTTCCTTTTATTATATTTTATTATTTTCATTCGCCAGGCAGTTTTATTGTTTTCATTTTAAAAATCACATCCTCCTTAGCAATAGAAGGTCATAATTTTGCTTCTGCCTAGCTAGTGCTGCACTTAGGAATCCCTCTGTAAAAGAGAGCCAACATTCCATTATGTCTGTGAATAGGCTGTATTAGAGCTCCTGGAGTCCTGTTTCTCATGTCTTTCATGTCTTGAGAGTGCACTGTGTTGCACAGAGTGAGGAGCATTTTAGGTGAGTGTGGGATGCTCTCCTGGCCAGTGTCAGCACCTAAGCAGCAGGATATGGCTCTGTGTGTGTTTATAGGAAGGAATGTGAGACCACATAGGAGCACGTTCTTGTTTATGCCTTGACAAATTGCATTTAAGTAATTGCAGCTGCTGATAGGAATGGGATGGAATTTAACTGCATGGAGAAGGAGGTCATATACTCAGGGACTAATACAAAAAAAAAATATTTGCTCTAAGCTGGGAGTTTATCATTTGGGAATGATGTAGGAAAAGAAAAAAACTGAGTATATTATGAATATGACCCCCCAGTGAGGCCTGGCCATATCTTTTATTGTTCATTGTACCAGGAGAGATATTTTCAGTTGAACAGGAAAGTATTAAGACATTATGCAAGGTATCTGAGATACCTTGTGAATTATGCAGAGTAATGTGAATAAGACAGAATTTCATTTCCAGAAATGATACATACTTACACCGCAAAGCTAGTACAGAGTAAAGGATGAAGGACATAATAAGTTGTTAATAAAAGAGGAGAGACCCAGGGTCCATATCTTCAGCTTAAGATAAGAATGAGCTGATGTAGTCTTGTGTAGCATCAAGCTGATGCCTAAAAGAACATGTCTTTGCTAGCCAAGCACAGATGCAGTGTTTTAGATGACAAATACTGCTGCTCAGGGAAACTCACACTCTCTGCTGGCTTAATTTTCAGCTGGTTCCAAAGCTAACCTGGTCAACTCCAGACCAGGGGTTTTGGGCACTGTGCTCTCTTGCAATTTAAATCCTGTGAAGGAGTATAATGGTTGTAAGGACTAGAGGAGCTAAAAAAAATCAAGGACAAAGAAGTGCCATTAAATTGTTTCACTGACATAAGAAAAATGAGTCTAGATTAACCTTGAATAAATTTGAATAATAAATTACCAAGTGGCTACTTCTTGTCTGTAACCAATATCAGGGAGGAAAACCATTTTTAAAACAATTTTTCAACGTTTTTGAAAGTGTTCAAGGTGTTGCCTGTTGTCTGAAAGAGCAAGTGACAGGGCTCTAAAAGGACCTAAAAGAGTCCTTCTCCTTTGCACTTTCTTAGGAAATGATGTGCTTTGTGCTGCTAAAAGCTTCATGTCGAATAATTTGGGTGCTGTATTTTTGCTGAATTACTAAAATCTCAGAACCATTCAGTTAGCAAGAGCATTAGGACAGTGAATTACCTGTAGAGTCCTTATAAAAACTTCACACTGAATGCATTTCAGTGACTTTGTGGTCTGCTGTGTTAGGTTCACACTACTTGGCCCTTTAGTCTGGAGTTCTAGTTCTAGTATGTTCTCCAGAAGAGAAGTACGTTCTAGAAGAGAAGAATCGCATGTTCTGGTCACAGAGCTGTTGAGGTTTCAAGGGACCTTTTAGGATGATCTGGTCTAGTCTCCTCCTCAAGCAGGCTCATCTAGAGCAGGATTTCCAGAACCATGACCAGTTGGGTTTTGGATATGGTCCTTTCTTTAAGAGCTATTTCTGTATTATTGGGTAACTAATAAATGCAAAATATGTAGGGAGAGGAGTTACTATAGTCCTGACAGTGTTAGCATCAGTCTGTGTGCAAAGCAGATTATCTAAGCTGCAAAGGTTTTGGGAAACATGCTGAAGCTTCTAAACAGTTTTTCATTTTAAAATATTTTTCAGGGGATGAGCTTCCCATAAGTGTTCGAATCTCCCATGATAAACAGGACAAGCTCCATAGCTGCTTGGAGCATCTCTTTGGTCAAGTATGAGATTATTTTCTTGGCTTTGACATTGATGTCTGTGCTTGAGCTAAAATGTCTTTAGAAAATACTTCTTCTTTTTAATTTTGCTTGCCACTGTTTACTGAGATTGTAGTATTTACTCATTTTCCCTCAGTTTTCTGTAAATAGTCCAAAACTGCAAATTAAACAGGCCCTTAAATTTAGTCTAACATTCTCCAGTTTGTTACTTTAACTAGAGCCATTAGGTAAGAAAAAATCCAAAGTTGCTGGTCAGGAGTCCACATTTCTTACAGAAAGAATTTCTAATTGTTGCTGTAAAATACATCTTTCTCACAGAACCTTGATCCCAACAGGTCGATTCAATCGTCAATCTTTTGAAAGGACCAGCTGTGATGAGAGCCTTTGAGCAGACAAAGTACTTCACACCAGGTCGAGGCCTCCAAGGTAACATTTAATTCCAGCTATGAGAATGAAAAGGCAGCTTGAAGGGTCCATGGCAATGGCTGTCCACTCCTTGAGCTGGTGTTAACAGACTGATTTTGCTTAATCTTGGTATATTCTGCAATAATTGATTATTGAAGTTTATTTTAAATAGATATTAATTCTTAGGAAAAAATTTCAAATTCAGCTGAATTTTAGACTCTGAACTGACTGTTGTATTGCTGAGGATTTTGCAGCAAGAAGCAGTGTTGTTATATTGCAGGTGTTTTTAACATATTTTTGTCACAACTACTGAAGCCATTCCTGATCTATTTTATTACTAATACCATATTTTTATAATTTTTGTAGTTGTATTATGTTTGAAGTTGATTTATAAATAGTTTGTGATTTATAGTCACAGCAAAATTTATGCCAAATATATACTTATGTAAATATTACTGATTGCTTAAAAAGAAATATCCTGTATGTAAATTCAGGCACTCTACTACCACTTGTGTGGTTGCTTAAGTCTAAAGGTGTGAATAAGCATCTGGTGGTGGTCATAAGTGATGAAAAAAGAGAAAGGACTTCTTTCAGTAGACTGAGTAAAAAAAAGAAAGTTCAATAGGAACCTGAATGTTTTGCTAATGTCAGTAGTAAAGTGTATTGATTCCACACATGTCTTTTAGCAAAGAATACTGGTTTTAGGTGGCCAGAGGGTTTTTACCCCAATTATGAGGTTTTACAAGGCCTGGATTACTACCTGCTAAATGAATTTGCATGAGAGAACATATAACTTTCTTTTTTTTTTTTCTTTCTTTTTTTGGATGAGTTTTTTGTTGGTTTGTTTGGGTTTTTTTGGGTTTTTTTTTGGTTTTTTAGTAAGTAATTTTGGTCCCAATTTAATTTTCTGATTAAAACAATTTTGCCTCTGAAAGCTCCAGGGTCCCACTTACCATGCACCTTTTGTGTTATGTACCTGCTTCAGAAAGAATCATGTTTGGGGATGCTCACTCTCTCCTTGGACTTGAGCAGGGAGCTCAGATGACTGTTAGATCTGTCACCGTAGCTTTAACTAGAGTTAAATAACTCGCCAACTCCTTGAGCAGTGAAAACATTTAGAAAAAAAAAATAAAAGTCTTACTGTGACTTTCTCAGGAGGCTTAAGCATAAAAATACTATTTTTGTCCCTGCTTAGAGTTTCAGCAAGAAATGGAACCAAAGCTCAGCTGTCCAAAGAGGCTGCGACTCCACATCAAGCAAGATCCTTGGAACCTCCCCAGCAGCGTCCGGGGCCTGGCCCAGAATATCAGGAAATTTGTTGAAGGTTAGTAACAACCTGATCCTAAATAATCACTTCATTTATGATACAGAGGGGAAGGGAAGGGGAGAGGAGAGGTGCAACTGCTTCCTGCTGCTTCTAGGCAAGATTTGTGGAACACAGTGTAATTATAGACAGGTTGTACTCTCAATAGCAAGGTTAGTGGAGTTTATCTCAGCTGTCTTGTACTTAGTCTGTTTTCTTTAGATACTGAAGAGAAAATAGTCTTCTGAAGAGAAAATACTCTTCTGACAAATGGAAACTGAGGAACTGTATGTTGGATGTGCTAGGTTTTTCAGTTGCTAGGTTTTTCAGTGCAGTGGGCTTGCCTGATTTATCACAGAACGTCATACCACCAGAATACACCAGAATGAGGCTTTTGTTGAAATTAAACTTTTTTTTTTCCCCACTGTCTTAACTGGAGAAATAAAATCTCTGCAGCTTTTGTCCTGTACCTTGGTCTTCTCTGTGCTTTTCTGGAGTCATTATCTCTCCTTCTGCTGTAAACCCATGATTTTCATTCAATCCATCCCAGCTGATGGATGGACTCCTCCTCTGCCTCCCTTCCACCACTGTGTAGAAGTTACCAAGTATTCTGCTTCTCTTCACCACCAAGTGACAGTGTGACCTGAGATTTAGGTTTTCTCTGATGTCTTCATAAGAAAGTAACTGCCTTTTTCCTCCAGAGTACCTTGCCTTTAATTCCTGCTTTATTTCCTGTGCTGCTTGATAAAGAAACAGAAATAAAGAGTTAACATGATTTTTTATAAAAATGTCTATGCTGGGATTCTGTGTAGGAAAAAAAATTTAGGACTTGCTTCAAATTATTTGCGTGTGTGTGTTTAGCTTCTTCTCTTTGTGGGCTAGTTGCTACAGTGTCCCTTAAAGAAACTGTTAAATATCAGACCAACGGGATAGAACTTTGTGATAAGTTTTGTTATTATAAACTTTCAAAAACCAACCAGCCAAAAAAAACAAACTCTTCCCTCTCTGACTTGGCATTTCTGATTTGAGATACATCATATTTTCAGACCCTGGTTTAGAAAATTATAAAAATAACCGCATAAATATCTCCTTCTTGAAGTCAATCACAGTGGGTTGACTCTCCAATACCAGGAATACTCCTTTTAGTTTAATGGTGGTTGCCGCTGAGTGAAAAATTAATAATTGGTTTAAATAGTTTTGAATCCCTTTTTTTTTCTACATGTCCTTCTTCAGCTTAAACTGAAGTATTTTCAAGTATTAATCAGGGTTTCTTTCAAAGTTGAGGAGGAAGGGAAATGTGTTGTGAACAATCCTTCCTTGGCCCCTTTCAGAAGCTAAGCTTACCAGATCATTTTCACAAAACTTGTTTGCCCATGAATAGAATTAATAGACCTAAACCATTTGAGCAGTGGTCATATACCCTAAATATTGAGCTGAGATTATTCAAAATCTTGTGGGAGAATTCATCAAATCCAAATTATTTACCGTCCCTTTCTACTATAAAAATTATTTTTACTGTACTCAGCTCAGTACTGAGAAACAACCAGCAGCTGGATTTAACTGAAATCTGGTGAACAAGAAGAAGGGTTCCCAATGTTTTTAACAGCTCCATTTTCCCTTTGTATCTTCATTTCTTGATTTCTTCCTTCCTGTGTTGCCATCATACACTGTGTTCATGGCTGTTCTGGATACCTAGGAGAGCCACCAGTACTGCCCTGAGCTATTTATGGCTGGAAACCTAAGATATGGCACAAAGAGTCATCTCCCCATTTCCTCTCTTATTCACTTGATTTAGGAAAAAAAGGTGCCACCTGATATGACTGTTTAGCTGGTCTTATGAGAACAAGTTGAACAATGTCTTGGGATTTTAGAAGAATCTTCCTGTTTGTTTTTGAGTGAAAGACAATATTTCAGTAATTAAGGAAAACAGATACATTTTTCTCTTCTAAGAGGAAGTAGTCAAAGGACACCACAGATATAACTTCACTCACTGTGGGCAAAAAAATGTAATTAAAACTTTCAGTTGTTATAAACATACTTAACCATTATTGCTCAGTGCTAAAGTAAGGATGAATCCAATAAATTCATCTCCTTATTGAAAACTGACACATTTTTCTTTTTATAAAAGTATCACAGGATATTTTAGTTTTTTATTCACTGTTCTGTTGCATTGCAGAATGTATTAGATTAGATTGATTAGTGCATTAAAGCAGGAGACATGGGAGCCTCACAAAGATTAAATGTTTTAAGTTGTAGATACTAAATTCCTTTTATTTACTTTGTTTAATAAATATGATGAAATGGGAAAACTCAGAATGCCTTGAGGATGTTTGCTCTGGTCTGTCAGTTTTCTGTTTATTAGTGTTTGAATTCAGAGAACTACTAAAAAATCCATGAAAGTTTGTGCAGATTGAAAAAAAAAAAAAGAGAACAAAACAGAAACAAACCAACCAAGCCCTCCTTGACAGTAAAATTAAAATTTAGCTGGACCTTGCTTTGTCTCATTTCATTTGACTTATCATATCATTACAGAAAGAAAAAACTTGAATGGGTACAGTAAAAGTCCAGCCTAGAGAGCTAATCTAGTTGCTAGCATTGAAGTCTCTGGAGTATTATGCAGGTTCTAGGAGGATTTATCTGGAGCTAAGTAACTGAAGAAAAGAATTAAGTTTTTTCTTGGATTGACTGGGCCTAATAAATTGTTAAACCATTCAAGCTAAAGATAAGCTGTTGGCACTGGCAGATCTTTGATGGTGAAGTACTTGGTTTTGGTGGGGAGGGAAGCAGTCAGGGCAGGGATTGGGCAGCCACCAAACAGAGGAAGAATAATAGAAGTACTTGATTGCGGATCTGTGTGAGACATGTAACACAACAATGAGAAAGCACAGGAGGAAAAGACTGGAGTAGGAACAAGGAAAATGAACAAGATGGATGGAAAGAAAGGGACTCAACTACAGAAGGGTGTAAGCAAAATAAAGAGAAGAGAATATTATCTGTAGTTGCTTTTTCCTGCAGAAAAAATCGGAAAGATTTTTGATCAAAGGAAGAGATGTTCTGGAGCAAGTCAGATTTCTAGCCAGCTAGTCTTGTAACTACATGATGAAGTGCAGTTGTTTTTCTAGCACTGTAATTTTAAGTTTAAACAGGAAATATGATGCAATTGAGAAAGTTCTCATCTATTTTAAATTAGGAGTGAGGT